GAGGGTTTGCCTTGTCCGTCTTCCATGGGTTTTGTGGTTATGTTTCTTGTTCGTCACAGGCAGAACCGCAGAACAATTTGTATTTAGGAAATATGCAGAAGTTGCCTTTGTGCATCGTGAACCACATCTTTTGGTTAGCCTTGCGCAGCTCCTTCCTTAGCTTGAAGGGCTTGAGGGAGCCTTTTCTTGGCCGAAACTGCTAGCTGAGCTATATTGGACATGAAGAAGCGCCTGCGAAAGGACGAGTCTCAGGTCTCAGGCATCATCTGCTGATGTTCTTGATGGAGACTGGCCTTTCCAGTCGAGCTTCAGACCCGTTACAGCTGTTTTTTGTTGTCGAGCCGAGACCCCCCCCCACCACCAACCGATGAAACAAGAAAACTATGATTTCTCGACTTCTCATTGGCCCAGTTTTCGGTACTACGCAATGCGGGGCATATGTTGCTTCGTTTCGCTTCCAGTTTCTGTGTTGCAGGTTGGATATTTGTAGGTCCCCCCTCTCCAAGGGGCAGTGATTGATGGTTGGATGACCAAGGACCGCATCCTCAACCGCTGCTGGCTCCCACCTCAATGATTTTACGTCCTTAGTTGTTTCGAAAGGGGGTGTGGAATTATGTACTGTAATCCTGTGGATTTGAACGTGAACAATTGATGCCAAGTATGCCATGCATTCGGCGGCCTTCGGAGCATCGAAGGATCGGCCCGCCTTTCGGGTTTTCGTTGCCTCATGGCTCACGCAAGGCCACGCACGGACCATGCGCATTATGTGGCGTTGGGTTAGTTTAGTGCTCCTATGTGCTCCTGTTCATGACCATTGGAGTATGTGGCCCCTTTGGTTCCTTTTGTCTGGTTGTTTGTTTGTGTTATTTTGGTGTTTTGGGTTGTGTTGCTTCAACGTGCTGGTATTTGTTTTTCCTCGGAGTCCATGTTGACTTGACTACCGTAACATGATTATTGTTGTTGATGTTGGTCTTGTGGTTGTTGTTTTCTGGGGTGCCGTCCCAGTGGTGGCTGTGCATGAAGATCGGCGAAGAATTGCATGCACATTTTTTCCAAGCTCTAATTTGTTGGCAGGGTGGTTGAACCAGCAACGGCGACTATCATTTGTTGATCCGAAGCACGCGGCGCTTTGAAAGTCAATCAACACCAAACCCTTGCGAGGTTGCATGTTTAGTGGGAACACCGTCCAATGCCTGTGACAGGTTGGCGAAATTGAATCACACGTTGAGCCAGATGTGCCGCTTGGAATGGCGCATCAGAACGGTTTTTCACTTGTGTGCTTTGAGGGTGCTATAGGGGCATGCGCAACCGCAACAATTTTTTAGTCGTACATCGTTGGAACATTGTATTAGCATGTATTAGCTGGAATCGGAACATAAGTGGCACCTCGGAGTTTGGTGCATTTCACTATACATTTCAAAGTGCATCAACAGCGAAAAACAATAAAATGTTGCTGAGGTTTTCTCCGCTTGGTCAACCTTTGCCCTTGTCGCACGCTGCCACACATCCAGTACGCCATTGAAATGCTGCAGCAGCAGTGCGCCATTAGGGCAACAATCTCCAATGTGCCGCATTCCTTGTCCTAATGTTGTTTGAAGGGTTTGTTTTTGAACAAGTTCAGCCTCCTTGAACACAAGGATTGTAAACACTCATTCAACTACCGGCTGGGCCCACAGAAAAACACGGCAAAGAAACACTGGTTTACTTTGCTGAGCGGCATCGGAGGTACAGCGGCAGCGAGTGATCACGTGAGATTTTGACCAGCGCAAGCCACCCCTTTTGCCCGGACAAGGCTAAACCATTTATATATTGTCGTTTGTTCATTTTTTAAAACACGATTACGTGCCAGCAGCCAATAGATTGGAGAGGGCAGGTGAGGGGTTTGCGTTGGTGGGGCGTGCTCCGGCTGAAGTTTGTGTGTGTGGTGTGGGGGGACGTTTCCTCCCCTCAGAGAGTAAAACTCAATTTCCAAGGTGTTCAAACAGATAACGCATTACAAGACCATTTTGCAAAACTATGTGGCTTTGGTTGTTTTTTGTCGTCAACATGTTTCAGAAGAAACTGAGGGAGTCAGACAATGTGAACTCAGGATTTCCCTGTTGAACCTGTCTATCTAGGAACCTTCGCATGCTGGAGATAATTAAGCAAACTATATGTTGTTGCGGGTCACAACCAGGAACCCTAAACCCTTGACCTGCCTCGTAGTCTATTCTGTTCATTTCCTCCGGTCAATGGTCCCCGGTTTTGACCCGGAGCCATATATCCCACACACATGAGAGGAGAGTGCACACATGAGAGCACACATATGAACCAGTAGCTTGACCATAGCTTGACCATACTGAGGGTGTTCTTGCGAGACGGCGAGACCGCCAAGCCCGGAAGAGCAGTCATATACACTGTAAGTCTGAGAGAACTTTCTATACAAAAAAAAGGCACCTGCCGCAAAACCAGCGTTCGCAGGTTCACCAAGTGCTGCGCCTGCCATGCCGTTTTGCAACCCAAAGCCAGCTTTCGCCCGAGACAGCCACAACTCCGAAATTCACGATTCATTGCGCCTGCCATGATCTCTTGACTCTTCAGTTTGCCACGAGGAGTTGACTCATTGAGATCACAGCCTCTTTTCACCGTATGAACCCCTTACTTATAGTTGCGAACAGCCTTATTGTGGTTTATTTGGCACAGTCTCATCCATTCAAGGGAGCGCCCCACTTCTCACGTCTGCTAAGACCACGTTCCCGGAATGTTCCCGCATCATGTTGATTTTCGTAGGGGTTTTGCATAAATCTCAGGTCACATGGCCAATCCCAGGTGCCACGGGTACCATACTGGCACACCTCAGTAAGAGACCTTTCGGAGCTCAAATTTGTTCCAGAAGGGTCGAAGAAGTGTGCCTAATGCCTATGCAAATGGATTATGGCATGGCTCTTGCAGTATTTATGCAAAGACACCGCACTTATATATATAATTATATATGTACATAGTTTGTGATTGAATGGAAGTACGCTTGAACATGCACAACACATACATCTCACGACATGTCTTTGAGATGCATGTGTGTGCTCAAATCAAGACATTGAATCAATCACTTCAAAGCACAACATGATATCAAAACGAATCCATTAGCATTTGCCCGTGCCTCGGTGGTTTTGGCAGAGGGCTGCATTTGAAGACCGCTTGTTTGCGACGCAACCACTATCGGAACATGGTTTGTTTGCGAGTCCAATCAGGCTGCAGCAAAGAACGCTTGTTTTGACCGCAGCCCTCCTGCTGTATCTCTTGCACAGCGGTTGGGACATCCCACTTCAGAGCCAGCCGATCTGAGTACAACTGGCTTAATTACCGACAAAACGAAGCAACATGTTTCTTAATGAATATCCATCAAAGGGCTCTTACACAAAGTTGTTTGTTTGAGGATTTGATTGGGTATGTATCAGAACATGTTTCATCACAGACTATTTGACGAAAACAAGGCCTTCATGGCTCTCCGGGAGATCGCCGCAGTGCTTAACAAAGTTTTGGTTGGAAGTAGGGCGAGTCAGGCCAAGCAGCGAGTCCACCGCACTGGTGTCAGTCAGAGGCTTCTTAGGGTCGGAGACTGTCCGGAAGACCCGTTTCAATGCTGTTCTGTTTTTTAGACCGATTACTCCTTGGAAGCTTCCTGCCTGCCACCACCGTCTCGTTGTGTGTGGCCCTTGGCAATATGCCTGACCTTAGAAAGCCAACCCGCGTCCAATGAATGTTCATAGACGAAGGCCCCCACGGGTGGGGCTAGCTTTAGCAGCTAAGGTTGGGCATCAGTCGATCTGCAACGCATCCATCTCTCGTGTTCAGGAATTGTTTGACGGTGGCGAGGACCAAGTTAGCAGGCCCTGAGTTCGCTGAAGGCCGGAGCTGGGCAGCAACTCCGGTAGCTCAACTCTGGGTGGCTCCTGCTAGAATCCGTCCCCTGCAAAGTTTGGGAATGGTGTGACGAAGCCAAACACAAATGTCAATCATCCTAGATCAGTTTCATTCCCGGATTGCAGCCGCCAGATATGTCAAACTATACTGGCATACTGGAATGATCTCAGGTTTTGCTGCCATATTTCCCTTGCACTGGCAGGAATCGAGGCCCCCCACCGTGTTGCGAAACTGATAGTATATACAATACATTTATACATTTATATATATATATGTTCTGCATGGGAAATGATCAATTCAATTACTTGGTTATATAATATAGTTGAAAACTGTGGAGATTGAGGCGGCCTTGCCCTGCATGTCCGGCAATTGTGCTCGCATAGGTTTGTGATGAGCGGGGGGGCTTCTTTGCTCCGATTGCGATGAAATGGCATAGAGAGCTTAGAGGTTCTTGTCCCGAACAGCTGATGGCTGCATCACAGTAGTTAGTGAACCTTGAGCATACGCGAACGTATGTATTTCTGACAAGTTTGCACTGACCTACTTTTGGCTTGCTTTGACATCCTTGACATGTATTGAACAAATTGGGTATATCGACTTATGAGCCATCCAGATTGGATGCCATATTTTTCAGTTAGATCAGAAAGCCAGGGGGCGCAGGCAGACTTTTTACCATGGCAGCAGTGGAGCAGAAACCGAGAGCAACCGAGGCTGGTGCACAAAAAGGCATGATCAGATGTCCGCAGATGTGGATCCGTAAGGCTAAGGCCAGGAAGGCCCAACCTTTGGACAGTTTTCTGGATCATTCAGCATGATTGCTTCGGCTGCGTCGGCGGTCGCGTGCGTTGTCAACATGCGTTTGTTCCCGCTGGAACCACATTGAGTGAAGTGCAAAAAGCCTCACCTTAAACTGTGGCAAGAGGTGACGCATGTAACAGTTAGTATTTGCACAGTTCCGCATCTTTGAAAGGCTCGTTCCCATAGTTGCAGCGCTTTCGTCGTAGGCTTTTGGCGGCCCGCTCTGGCTCTAGAACACTGTAGCGCGTGACCTGCACGTTCCGCGTTTTTCACACGAAATGCCGTGAGTTGGGACCCAATCAATGCGGCGACGGGAGGACAGAGGTGCCAGGGATCACCGACCCTGTTTGGGACAAGTTACCTGACTCCAACTTGGCCAAACTAAAGTATAACAAAGCTTTGACGCGAGGTTTGGATGGTTTAGGACAA